GTCTTGCGTAAGAACAGGCTGTCTTGGTTTGGTTCTAGTCACTGGACGAAAAAGGTAATTGGTAGGAGAAGAAGATGCTGATTTCGAGCGAGCGCGGTGGAGAAGAAATGTGTTGCGGTCTCCCGAAGAAAGTTACAGTTACAGAATAAATCTGTTGGGCAAATCAATATGAGAATACCCCATGTTTTGCGGAAGCTGAGGCTCACAGCATGCCAAATCGAAACCGTATGCCCCAGCTCGAGGAGCCTATACAGATAACCTGAGTCTCGCGGAGATAGCGCTTGACGATCGACATTACCAGATCATGAAAACCTAAAATGCGTTCCGGGTCAGCGTCGGCTACACCGAGCTCAAGCGCAGATACTTACCGTGGCCTTGAGATACCTCGAGTCGTCCTCGAATTGGCGGAAGTAGTAGTACCCTGCAGAGTCACGATCCCAAACAGGAATGTACTGACGACCCCGCCAATCTCGATAGCACCGAGACTCGTGTCGAGGGGCGGGAAAGACGGGGGTCCTACGGGGCCGGCCATCTGGGGTAAGGGGAGAGGTAGGGGTCGATATCGCACTGGGGGCGGTAAGCATCCGCGTGCCGCGGTTATATAGCATCGGCTCAGATAAGGGAAAGTTCCGCGGGGGAGGTTCTCCACTACTCGCCGACTGATCAGATCGCGGGGGCGCAGATGCCCAGGACAGGTTTCACGTTCCTGCTTCTAGGGTAACAAGATGAATGTGAGCTTACGATGCTGCCCGACATATGCTTTCAATCACAAAATGTGTATCGCATCAGTCAGATCCATGCTCACCTTACAGCGCGGGAAGCTCGCTGGCTGTCCTTGTTCTCGAGGGACTTTGAGCGGCCCGAAAACACGATCTGGTTCTAATTCATATAGATCGTGATACGCCGCAAAGATGGAACACAAGAGGAGACGTTCTAGAGCATGCATTACGCCAACTAATTATACACCCCACTTTGCGACAAAGAAGCGCTCCTGCAACACGACAAAGCTAAGAATGTACATGAGTACCTGCGCACGTGGGTCCAAACCACCATCTGCTGGAAATACCGCATCGGTGAGATATCCATTCAAAGTTTCCTTGACGTAGGACCACCGGAAAAGTCCGAGCCGCTCGATAGCCTCCTGCGTAATCCGCGCCTTGACATGCGCTTGGAAGGGACGCAGACTCGCGTCCCGGCCTCTCGCCTTGCAGCAGGCGAATTGTACATCAGTTTCTTGCGATTGTAGACTTCTTCCGGCACAAAAGGTCTGACTGCCTCTCGTAGCAGCCATTTGTCTGTGAAGCCCCCCTTGATTGGACGGACTTTGACCGATCTGGAAGTGCGCCACAAGATCAGCATCGCCAGGCGAGATAGGATGGCCAACGCACGGAGGGAGACCGTTGATGTAATCAACGAGATGGTGGTCGAGGAACGGTGGTCGTCCTTCGACAGAATGGGCCATCTCACTCCTCTCACCCACTTGATTCAGGATCGAGTTCTGCAGGATTGTCTTCGCGGTAACATACTGTGCCAGACACCCATCAACATCGCGCGCATCACGGCACACAAGAACCACGCACAGAACAGACATGCAGCGCGTGCCATTCACCAGAGACCGCCTTCTCCCGGACACGCGCGTCGATATGCTCCGCGATCGAAAGCGTGATGTCGGGCTCTCCCGTCATCGCCAGAGCCCGCGTGTCAAACAGCTCCGAGGCAGCAGTCCCCGCAGACGCATAGGCGCGGTGGCAAGAGATCCCCCGAGCATCTCCCTGCCTAGCTTCGCATCTGTCCACGACATCTTCCCCATCGCCAAGATCGGCATCCCGTTTGGGCCCTGGATGCGGTCCAGAATCGCGGCACGGACGGCATCGGGCGGCAACTCCAGTCTCAGCTTCAGGCCTGCTTCATCTCGCTGACGGAGATAGTCGATCGGGAACCAGGGGTACCCGCCGAAGAACTCGTCCGCGCCTTCTCCCGTGAGCACAACCTGGAATCATTCAGCAGGGATGGACAAGCGGCATGCAAGGGGTTTGATGCGCTACCCACCTTGTACCCCTGTTCGTTCACGTACTTCGATAGAAGAAACTTTCCGGGGCCCTGGAATGTGAAGTTCACTTGCTCGGTGTGCCAGATAGTCGCCTCGAGCGCCTCGACGAGCGCAGCTTCGTCGACGTTGACCATGTGCGATTCAGCGCCCAGATGCTCGGCTGTACGAGCAGCGATCGGGCCCTCGTCGTTGTCTTTGGCGTCTACGGAGAAGAGTCAGAACACTGCCCTAGTCAGCGTCAACAACGCCGCCGTACCGGGGAACGCGAGTGTGAACGTCGCAATCCGCGCATTCGGATCATCCTTCCGCAGTAGCTCTGTTACGATCCCGGCGACAGCGGAGCTGTCGATACCCCCACTCAGGTATACGCCCACCGGCACGTCCGATCGGAGACGCAGTTCGACCGCCCTGACGAGCCGCTCGCGCACGCCGTCGACCATCTCGTCGATTGTCTGCGGGACCGCGGATGGCGTGTAGTCGAGGTCCCAGTACGGCTGCACCTTGAGGTATCCCGACGCCGGGCGATAGAGCAGGGACATGCCCGCGTTGAGCTGTGCAGAGCAATGAGCGGCTGCCTATCCGATCTCGCAAACAACCCGCACCTTCCTCCCGCCCTTGAAGACGGTGCGATCGTCCGATACATCGCCCGAGTGCACAATGCTGTGGATGTCCCACTCGGCTTTCCAGCCCAGCGGAAGGAACGCCTTCATCTCGCTCGCGATGAGCAGGCGCTCGTCGGACACAGTGTAGTACAGCGGCTTGATCCCAAGCCGGTCGCGCGCGGCGAAGACGAGCTTGCGCGTCGCGTCGTACAACACAAAGGCAAACTCGCCGCGGAGTGAGTGCAAGAGGTTGAATCCGTTCTGCTGGTATCTGCGGTCCGTCAATCAGCGTTGCATTGGCGAGGACCAATTGAGAAGAAAGACCCACAGGTGAACAACGAGCTCCGAGTCCGAGTGTGTCTTGAACACTGCCCCGTTTGCCTCTAGCTCGGCTCGGATACGCGCATAATCGTAGAGTTCGCCGGTCACAACGCATTGGATCCCACCCGTCTCGTCGGACAACGGCTGCTGTCCTGTGGCAAGGTCGATAATTGAGAGCCGCGCGTGTCCCAGACCTAGGAGCAGTGAGTGGGGGAGCTTAGCGCTAAGAGAAGCCACCCACCGACACGTCCATCCTCAGAGAGGTAGATGCCTTGCGAGTCGGGTCCTCGGTGGTGTATGTTCGTCAGCGACGCTTCGATCTGAGCGCACAGGTCTCTCGGCGGAGAAGCGGAGCCATAGTACGCGACAGCGCTAAGACCGCACATGACAGTAGGAACGAAGATGTATGAAAAAAGTCTCCAGCATTGTAGCTATGCAAATGTTTAGCTTAGGAAAGCGAGGAAGCGAGGGACGTCCGCGGTGGCTGTGAACAAGATGAGGCTGTGTCGAAAGACGTGTGCTTTACATCAAAAGCCGCTGTTTGTGATGGTTCTCCGCTGTTGAAATCAGTTTCAACGCCCCCATCTTACATGTTCATCTCATTTTAGAGGGCTTCTTCTTCTGCGGCGAGCCCTCACTTCGCACCATTAACGGTGATTGGACGGTCTGTGGATTTCTAGTCAATAGGTTGGTAGTCATCCTCTCTGCATGGTTGAAACTGTGTGAAAGCATCAAATCATGAGCTTTCCTTCTGATGTTTCGGATCGTGGCTTTGATGAATCTCAGACGCATTTTTATATCAAGTCCTATTGAACTGAGGTCGGGACGCCAGTACGGGTATCCTGAACTGGCCCGGAATAACGTCCATAGATAACTCCCATCACGTTTCTCACTGGACAAGAGTTCGATAGATGCATAACGGCCGCGATCCCTAGTTTCGATGCTTCTATCACGTTCAGTGCATCAAACGTCCGAGTCAATCAGATGCACCGAGCCTCTGAATGATTTCGCAAGCAAAAATTTGCTGTGCAGACTCTCCTCGTGTAGGCCTGTAATAGACAGACATCTTCGGCCAGCTGCGTTCCAACAAACACATTTACTTTCCGCTCCATTATGGCCAGTCAAACATGCAAAATTGCAATCGTAAGTGCGCTGAACCCTCCATCCTGAACTTAATCGTCCTACGAAGCTTCTTGCAGATCGGCATAGGCGCCCAGATCTCTTCCGGAAGTTTCTCAGAGCAAGATCTCGACTACCGCACATTCTGGGACTTTCTCCTCGCCGGCGGAGAATCGTACCAGCCCATAACACCGGATCTTTTTGAGTACAGCGGGTGCGTGCGAACGCTCAGACAATCTAGAAAAGTCCCGTTCAGACGACAACAGCTTCCCCGTCCTCGACAAGATCCAGTTCCCCGCCGCCGGCGCGTTTCTGAAGAACCCCTCCGGCCTGGACACCCTCGAGTTCGGCATCAGCGCGAGAGATGCACGCGCCATGCCGTTCACCGCGCGTCGCCTGATGGAGATGTCCTTCGAGGCGCTCGCGGATTCCGGGATTGACTATCGCAGACGGAGAGTCGGGTGTTACATGAGCGGGGTGTCGGATTTCGAGGTCCAGGTGCGTGGCGGTGATCCCAGTGCTTGGGTCTGGCTCCCACCCAAGAAATCTCACCGATCAGCTGCCAGGGTCCACCCGACTGGGACGGCAGCTTCGCCTCGGTGCCAAGCGCGCTGCCGAATCGAATCTCCTACGCTTTCGATCTGACGGGCCCTTCGCTGGAGGTCGACACGGCCTGCAGCTCGTCACTGACTGCGCTGCATCTCGCCGCACAGGCGATCGCGGGTGGGGATTGCGAGGCTGCACTGGTTGGAGCTGCCCAGATCAACCGAGGGTGCGTGCGGCTAATATTGGCCGTTATATAGGGTTGATGATTATCTCTTCAGACCGACTGAATGGGAGAACTACGTCCGAGGGGGTGTGCTCAGCCGTGATGGGACTACCAAACCATTCGATGCTGCCGCAGATGGGTCGGTCACCTGCAACTCAGATACCCAAACGAACTCACTCCATAGACAGCTTTGGCCGTGGAGAAGGTGCAATTGTTGTCGTTTTGAAATCATTGGAAGACGCCCTGCGTGACCACGACCACATTTACTCCGTGGTGAGTGGATCTTCCTGTTTTCCATCTGCGAATTCAACAGCTGACAATGCTCGGTCTTCTAAAAGGTGACCGGTAGCGCCATCAACTCGACCGGCTCACACATGCCTTTGAACGTCCCCAGCGGAATCGCCCAGCAACAGTGCATCGAGGAAGCGTACCAACGCGCTGGAAGGAGTGTCCTGGATGCCGACTATGCCGAACTGCATATCACGGGTGCGTGCTGATTCGAAGTTCTGCGCCGCAAGGTGATTGACAGCGCGAATTTCGTTTCAGGCACGTCAGCCGGAGACCCCATCGAAGCGAACACAGCGGGCGAGATTTTCGCGCAGAAAGACCAGCTGGTGGTGGGAAGTGCGAAGGGAAATGTGGGGTGCGCCTGCGTCGTCACCTTGCGCATGTACCCCTGCCTCACCTGCGCGATTACAGGCACCTAGAATCTGCCGCGTTTCTTGTCTCACTGCTCAAGTCGTCGTTGATCCTCGAGCACAAGCTCATTCCGCCCACGGTCAACTTCCGTACCCCATCATCCGCGATATCATGGGATCGCTTCTCCATCCACGTCCCGGTTGTGCCGACACCTTTACAATCCAAGGACGGTTCCGGACACTCCGTCATCTCGATCTCTTCCGCCGGCATCGGTGGATCGACGGGTCATGTCATCCTAGAATCTCCACCACCCCGAACCGACCTCTGTACTGCAACTCTCTGTAATGAGGGTAACACAAGCTCCGTCACGTTCATCGTAGGGGGGCTTTCGCCCCGCGCAGCGACCCTAATCTCGCAAACTTTGGTCTCCTCCCTCGCAGATGCCGATCTCTCATCTCTCAGGCGCTCTGCTGTTACCCTGGCCCGCAGAGCTCGGCAGATGCCGTGGCGCCTCAGTTTCACCCTGCCGAAAGCGACCCTTCCTCAGCCGACACTGGTCCCCGCCGCGAGTCCTCCGATCGTGTTTATCTTCAGCGGCCAAGGCCCACAGCACATCGAAATGGCCCGCTCGCTCTTCGCCGAGTTCCCCCTCTTCAGAAAGACTGTGCTCCAGCTGGACGACGTCTTCACGCGCGAAATGGGCTACTCGCTCATCGAGTCGACCGGTCTTTTCGCAGACATTCAGATACCAGGCTCAGCCCGGACAAAGCTTTCTCCCGACGCGTGGCCCGTGACGATCACCGTTGCATCGATTGCCATGCTGCAGATCGCGTTATTCGACTTGCTCAGCTCGGTGGGTGTTCGCCCTGCCTACATAGCCGGCCATTCGGCAGGCGAGACCGCAGCGCTGTACGCATCTGGGGCGGGCCCGAAGGAGATGGCCTTCGAAATCGCGCTGGCCCGAGGGCTTGCCATGTCTGTGACTGAGAGCCAGGATCGGGGTATGGCATCCCTGGCATGCACGAAGGACGCCGCCGCGAGGATCATCGGCAGTATCTCGCCCGGTCTGGAGATATCCTGCCTCAATTCCACCACGGGCGTGGCCATTTCTGGGCTCAGCGCGGACCTCGACGAGGCAGTGCGTGTCGCCCAGGGAGAGAGTGTGTTCGCGCAGCGGATACGCACAATGGTCCCCGGCCACTCGTCCTTCATGGATCCCATCAAAGCAGATTACCTCGCGCGTATGGACTCGATCTTCGAACGCTACCCAGGGTCACACGTGCCGCGCATCCCGGTGTACTCCACCTGCACCGGCGAGCGGATCGTTAGAGAGTTCACCGCCGAGTATTTCTGGAACAACTGCAGGAATCCAGTCCTGTTTGACTCTGCGATCGGCAACATCCTGCGGGACGTTCCAGCGCCGGTGTTTGTCGAGATGTCGTGCCACCCTGTACTCTCGTCATCAATCCTCACACACGGGATTCCAGACAATACCATCGTCTGTCCCATGCGTCGGGCATCCAAGTCCAAGCCCGGACCCAACGAGCATCTCGTCTTCACCGGGACACTAGCGAGTCTCGCGCTCATGGGGCTCAATTCGATCGACTTGAGCGCGCTGTATGGCGAGTCTGACTATAAACCCGCGTTCGCCAAACATCCGCTAGTGAATCGTCCGATCCTGCCGCTCAAAGTTCTTCCGTTTTACGATTTAGGGGCCCGAGGTGCTGGGCCCGGGGAAGGACATCTTTTGGATCCAGCCAACAAGAGCATCATCAATGAGAAGACGCATCCGCTCCTTGCACAGCATGTTGTTTCAGGTGTGTTCGGCAGAGATCATTCTTTCTTTGCATCATCAGTAATTTCGTCTGGATCATAGGGCAACCGATTCTTCCGGCCACAGCCTACTTGGAACTGGTATGTACTTCCAGGTGAATATGGTGGTGATTTTGTTATTTCTGTCCGCAGATTCTCGAAGCAGGGGCCAACGTCCTTTGGGACATCGAGTTCACGTCCATGTACTCGCTTTCGGAAACCAGCGCCCCGCTGTCTCTGGATAGATCTGATTCGAAATGGGTCCTGCGTTCCACGGTGAGCTTATGTGGACGCGATTCGCAAATGACGCCAGTCAACTCAACGACCGCTGCAGAGAGACCATGCTCGTGGGATGATGGACGAATCCATTCGCTCCGCTCCACCTGATGAGCTTGACGTAGACGAAATCTGGTCCCGACTTCCCGCGATCGACATTGATGGTATGTCTAGGCGTCTCAGCCACAAACGTCTATGACCTACCGTCATAGGGTTCTACGAATCAATTGCCGCGAACGTTCAATTTGGACCAGCCTACCGGCGTGTAACGCGGTTCCACGGCTCGCCCTCGGAGGTTATCGCGGAAATCAGGGTGCCAACGACCGAGAATGTCGATGTGCAGGGCTGGTCCGTGATACCTTTGATCCACGCAATACCCCACAAAACATTCAACCAGGTCCAACCAGTATCGACTCCACCCGATCCTTCTCGACGCGTGCATCCACATCCTCCTCCACCCTGCCATCTCGAAAGAATTCCCTGACCACGGAGGAGACATGTATCTCCCTGCGAAACTCCGTCGATTCGTACTTTATCCGGGCGTACAATCGGAGACAGGTTCTTGGACTTCCCACATAAGGAGGTGTTCATGGGCCCCGGGTGGGTTATGTTTGACACTCACTTTCTACGCCGGGGTCCTGACCCCAATCCCAGATTGGAAATCATATGATATCGTTATCTTGGATCAGACCGGACACGTGATTTGTCAATTCGATGAACTGGTCGTGCAGCGATTGGCGACGACACGGCCCGGCGAGGAACTGAAGCGATTTGATCTGGTCAGGCAGCCATGCTCTCTGGTCGTCAATGATAACAATGAGTCGGTCTTGTACCATGATCTGCCGCCGGACGACGAGGGGATGATGGTGTATGGCCTTCTGGATGACCTGGCGGTGGGACTGATGAAGAGGTCGTTGTCGAATGGATCTTTGGTCATTGGCCAGGATGTACGTGTCTTCTATTCACACCACCAATATCCCTAAGCATCAGCACCCAAGATCTCGCGCAAACGGTACCTGGACTACGCTCGCGAGTACGCACAGCGCCAAGTGGGCACCTGCGTGCTCCAGAAAACTTTGTCTGAACGCACAAGAGAGCGATTTGCGCCGTACTTTGAGGTGACATTTCGGCTGGCTGATGTGCATGAGACGGTGTTCGAGTCCCCCCAAGTGCGTTTCTGCATGAATAGATGTGATCCGTATTTCACTATCGGATGCAGCGCGCCATCGACGAATTGTACTCGGATGATCTGATGGCCCGGCTTTACAGTCGTGAAACCCAAAGCAGCAGGGTCTACGACGTTCTGCCAGGTTCCTTGGCTGCCATTCTGAGCACAATCGAGCAGCAAGGTAGGCGGTCGATCAAGATATTAGAAGTTGGTGCAGGTTAGCTATTTTTCCCTACATGAGAAAAGCTGTACTGACAGGGGCCAAGGCACAGGATTGCTTACACGATTCGTCGTTGAGGCATTGAAGCAGTTTCCGCACCTATTGTGTGAATATACTGTTTCAGATGCGTCCTTCGTGCGTACATTCCTGATTTTTTCCAGCCATTATACTCTGAACCTCACGCATCACCCAGGGCCTCGCTTCCGAACTGGCCCAAAAGCTCGACCACCCGAACCTCGTGCCTCGGGCGTACGATCTCACCCTCCCGCCCACATCCCAAGGACTCACCACCGAGTCTTTCGACATCGTCCTCGCGCTGCACGTTCTTCACGCGGTACCACACACTAAAACGTGTCTGTCAGCACTCGAAACCCTGCTCATCCCCGGCGGATACCTCCTCGCAGTCGAGATCGACGGCCGGGCCTGGGGCTCGGAAACGAAGCCCGGCTGCGCGTGGTTCGACTGCGTGTTTGGGTCGTTCCCTGAGTGGCTGAGTTATGATGACGGGCGCAGTCACTGTGCGATGTCGCCAGACGATTGGATGACGCAGCTGGGTGAAGTCGGGTTCGTCAATCGCCAGGTGATGGCTGAGACCGATGGACGGGGGTGCAGCTTCATGTTCACCGCGCAGCGCAGCCGGATCTGGGGCCCGACGCCTGCTGAGCATCTTGTACAGCCGATGCCGTACTCGATTGGACGCGAGATGGAGCTGCAGAGCCGGATTGCGAAGTCGGCGTCACCAGAGGAACCGTTCGAGCTGTACATCTCCGCATCGGACGGGCCGGACGGAGAGGCTGCGCTGGGGCTTTGTAATGCGCTTGCCCGCGAGTACCCGCTGTGGAGTATCCGTCTGGTTGTGTTCGCGTCGCCAGAGCAGATACTCATCCCGGTGCGGCTGTTCGATCAGGGCGAGTCAGTCGTATATGTCAACGGTGCTGGAGACGCGTCGGTTCTGCGCATGCTTCCCATGGGTGCTCCTTCTGCCAGGCTAGATATCGGATATCTCTCCGATGACGAGATTCTCGCCTCACCGATCGCTGCTGAGCGGATCGCCTCGGGGTTAATTCTCGTCGCGGCCTCCGTAATGGACAGCCATGACCCGGGCCTGTCATCCGGGACGATCGTGCTCGCTTTGGTCGACCAGGTTTCCAAGGAGAACGAGCTGTGTATTCCAGCGCAGGCGGCAATCCAGATTGCCGGTGTTCCTGACCACGTGACTATGAGAGCCACTTCGAATGCGGTGATTCCCACTTTATCGCCGACCAGCTCCCACGCACGCCGAAACAGTACGTCGTCGCTTCAAAACTTTTTGGCTCAGATGTTCTCCTGCCCGACTGCGACGGGATTGACCCAAAAACACCAGCTCCCAAGAGACACATGGGTGGCCTGATAACGGACTCGGAGACGCTCGCCGCGCATCCGCACTTGAGGGAGTGGATCACGCGTTCGGCAAAGCTCATTGTTTGGGACCAGATCCTGCGCGAAACTCTGCACGACGATCCAGCGACTGTCGCTGGAACGCTGCGTTCCGCGTGGGAAGGACTGGGATGCCGCGAGTTGACGACACCAGCCGCGTCACCGCTTGCCGCGTCGGACACGCAGCCGCTGTTCTCATCTGACAAGTGGTACATCCTTCTCGGCGGGATCGGCGGGCTCGGCGCCGATCTGGCACTTTGGATGTATCAGCACGGCGCGAGACGGATCGCGCTCACGTCTCGCCGCGGAATTGCGTCGCTGTCTGGCGACGAGGAATCCTTGGCGAAGATCGCGTGGATGCAAACCCGAGGAAATTTGGAACTACGGATGGACGCGTGTGATGCCACGTCCGAAAGAGCGCTCGCATCTCTCACCGACAAACTCTCGGAAACGCATCCGATCGGAGGATGTATCCAGCTCACGCTCGTGCTGTCCGACGCAACCTTCCAGTCACAAACGGCTGCCGGATTCAAAACAGTACGTGACTCCAAAGTCGGGGTGTTCGATGCTTTCAGTCACGTGGTGGACGTACATGCCCTCGACTTTTATGTGGCGTTTTCATCGCTCTCGGGCCTAGTCGGGTTACCGGGACAGACAAACTACGGCAGCGCTTGCACAGAGCTGAACGCCAGATTGGCGCCGTACCGCAATGCATTCTCGCTCATCGTGCCGGGCATCTTGAACGCGGGGTATCTTGTGAGAAGGAAATTACCAACACTTCATCTGTGCTTAAGGAGCTTCAGGACCGCACGATTGTTACTCAGGCATCCAGGTCAAAATCGGGAATCTTCGCCTCATCAATAACCACGAAAGGCGAGTAGAGATCACGTCTTGAATGTACCTATCCTCATGTATTTCAGAACTGTGGGCCTACCTCCAAGACGGGCTAGGAAAACTTCAAGCGGGACATGTGTTCAATCAATACATCCCTAATCTCGACTGGCACGCGATGAGCGTCGGATACCCGTTGCCCTCGGTCTTTAAGGATCTCGTTCGAACCAAGCCCACCGTGATCGTTTCGGAGACTTCATCCGACGACGACCTTCTCGCCCGTGTGTTGACAATCCTGGAGGTGGATAGACCGGATTTCGATGAGGATCGACCTCTGATATCATACGGCTTGGATTCCCTCACAGCCACCCGAATATCAGCGCTGCTGCAGCCATTTGGCTCAGTATCGCAACTGCAGTTACTCGGAGGCATCTCGTGGACTTCCGTGCGCGGCAAATTGTCTTCCTCAAAAACCACCCCGGAAGACGTCCTGCTCGAGTTCCTCGGTGTTGATAAGAAAGATTTCGATTCTTCGCGCCCACTGATTTCGTATAACGTCGGGTTTGACCGCGTCGCACAGCTAGCTACAGTCCTGAAACCTTACATGACTGTAACCGAGCTGCAGCTGCTATCGAACATCTCCTGGGCCCAATTAACAGCCTCGGGCCCTGCACTCGACATGGAGCAGACCTTCGTCGATCTCCTACCAGGCGAAGGAACACCGCTGTTCGTCTTGTTCGGCGCGGCCGGCGTCCTCGGCTCGCTGCTCGCCCTGCGCACCCACCATCACGCATCATCCGGTCCGCTTTACGGCGCGCAGATCACGTCGGCCACGCCGATCGATTCGTTCACCGGGCTCGCGCACTTCCTCGCGGCGGCAATGCGCGAAAAGCAGCCCCACGGGCCGTACCGGATCGCCGCGTACTCGCAGTCGTGTCTGCTCGCGATCGAACTGGTGCGGGTGCTCGAGGGGGGCGGGAATGTCGTGGAGCATCTCATCTTCCTCGACCACTTCCCTGCGATGTTCACCGTGGACAAGTTCGCGCTACTGGTCGAGGATCCGGCGGCTGGCGAGCAGCTTTTCTACGATCACACCGTCAAGACGATTATCTCGATGTTCGACAACGACCCGCTGTACGCTTCGACTGATCGGGGAGACGTCTGGCGGGCGACGGTCGCGGAGGGCAAGGGTCCAGCAGATGTGATGCAGATGCTTTCGTTGACGTCCCAACTCAACAAACCCGTCCTCGAGTTTCTCAGTAGTCTCGCGCTCGGCGACGACGGCGTGCGCTCCTGGTCTCGATTCCTGGCCGCTTTCGAGCGGTGGGTTGCCGGCACAGCAGCCCAGTATACTTTGATGGTGGCCGAATATGGCATCCGCTCGACGCTCGCTGAGTCAGACACCGAGTTCCGTGCGAATCTTGGGGTTGGTCGGTGCGCGAAGAACGTCGACGTGCACTTCTTGAACGGAGTGGGGCATTTCGGAGTCATGGGGTCCAAGCATCTGGCGGATCTGATCAGTGTGACCCTGGCGAGACCGCTAGTCGTAGCACGATTTGATTAGATGATAGCTCAAGCCCTCTCTTACTGTGCTCGTCAAATACACGCAATTTGCTCAACTACTTTGCATGCAACCGGTTACGACCGGGAATCCCAACGATCGGCACTAATAAGTAACTGACATGAGCGTGTTGAGCTATCTGTCCTAGGCTTCCACTCCATCTGAGGATGCCAGAACGCGCGTCCTTGTGGCCCCGAGCACAGGAGGCACAGGCCGCCGAAAACTTGATCGAGGTAGAGGCGCGAATGTCTTTCCGTGTCCGCTTCCAAGATTCAATGGTAACGGAGTGACACGGCACATATGGGGTGCCGGCGGCCGCTCGACTCGAAGGTTCAACTTTCAGGATGCCATGACAGGCACAGCCTTGGGGCAGAGCACAAGGCTGTCGTAACAATTTCCTGTTACCGTAACACCTTCCTTTTCCGGTCCTGGCGGTCATCGGCCTAGAATAATGACAGGGCACAGGCTATTCTGCGACCTGGGCGTTGGATTCTCCGGGGGTCTATTTAGAGACAGCCGAGACCTTCCCGAGAGCGTCGGCATGACGGCCGACAGTGTTCTCTGTTGGTTCCCGAGTTTCTTTCCGGGGCTGAGTCGCTTGCGCAATGGGTACTCATCTCCGAGAGAGATTGCTTCAACCGTTGCTCGTGATTGACTTGTCATGTGACCGGCAACTTGTGATGCCCGGACCAGCACTTGCTCTTTGTGGCTTTTGAAGCTTTGCTCGTTGCCCGCCAGGAATTTAAGAGAATGAGACGATATTCCGACGAAACTCAGGGTCCAGGAGCGTCATTCCCCTCAGCTCAAAGACTCGCGCTGATTGAATGCGCTGATAGCAGCGAACTTAGCGATTCGAGGCACGTGAGGTGATCAACTGATGCCATCATCGAGGTAACGAATGCAGTCTCTGTCTCGCACGGCGCCGCCCTTTGTCGCACAAAGCAACTTTATCTCATTCACTGGAATCTACCACGCAGTAGCGATGCGCTTTGTTCTCTATCCATGAGGACGTCACTATAAGGTCTTGTGGACAGCCTTTCGTCGCCTCGCTATCCCACCTCCTTGCACCCGCTCGACTTCTGCTTGAGCCATGCCCAGAACACACATCCGATCGATTTCGAAGGCCACTGTTGGAATTAAGCTTCGGCGCAGGGTTGGTCATCTCGATATTTTCGTCGGTCTCCAACGTATCTGAAAGACCTTGGCAGTCGCTGCGGACTATCGAGTCGAATGCGCAGGACACGGAGAAGCAGCCTAGCCCAGTCAGATCAGGTTCTTTGACTGAAATGCACAGCTTCTCAAAGGGGCGCAGCCGCGACAAGAGGCAGAATCCCAGACCTTTTGCAAGTCACGAGGTGCGCCCAAGCTACTTTGAGGCTGCCTCGGCAAACGCAATCGTCCCAGCCTAACTCCTTACATCAGCGCATACTTCCTAGTCACACGACCACGGTCCGCCGGACGCCAAATCACACCTGGGGTGCATTCACCTGGCAGCGCGAGCCGTCGTTGAGCGCCGAGGTCTCGCTCCTCGAATGCCCCAAGGATCCTCTGGTCGATGTGCCAATGAACGTCCAAACGCTTGGAACACAGGGCGAGGATGAGGATGAAGATGCGATCAGCGCCTGCATCGACCCGCATCGCCGCTTTAGCGTCGGTGATTTGCCGGGGTCGGAGTATACCTGCCCCTACGCCAGCGCCCGGCACAGCATCGGCAGAGACTCCTCGGTGTCGACCGACGCGGCTTGCGTTTTCAACTCGCCGCGCCATGTCCCCGGGATCATGTTCCCGACGTCCTCCGAGCTTAGTGTTCCGGACTGGGAGCGGGCACATTTTGTTTGGGATTGGCCGAGCTCGCCTGAATTCCTGCTGCTCCGCAATGATACTCAAGCGGCGCGCAGTCGACGTATTGCACAGCCGCGCCCGATCGGCCTGCACTCAGATTCAGCATTGGAATTGGGAATGAGTTATGTCGCAAGGTTAGAGGAAATTGCTGCCCGGATGGTCGAGGAAGAGGACCAGGGCAGAGTGTCAGGGGATCTGTGACTGTATTTGTTTACACTAGCAGGGACTGGTATCCAATGTGCTACGCGTTCTTGGCCCGCCCAACATCAGGGCCCAGTTGCCCCAAACTGGCCGGTGTTTCTTCTGCCGCATGGCTTCTTTCTAGATCAACGCCCAGCTTCGGAGGGTAAGCCGCTTCAGTATGCGCACGAGGCGGCAGAAGAAGGTCTGCGCCACCGATCTGCGATAAGTGCTTTCCGAGTCCCTCGCTGTTTTCTGGGAGCTGCTGAGATTCGGAAAGAATCGGAATCTGATCGTGGTTAGGGGTGTTTGGCTGCACTCGGCCCGCTCGCCTCGACCCTGCTTACAGCTGGATCGTAAGCCTCATAGATCATTTCTTAGGAGACAACTTCTACGGAACATTCACTAGACCGGTCTGTAAACAATTGGCGTCATCGGAGGTTTTATCTTGCCTGGCCTTACTTGCGAGATCTGGACGTGAAGGGATGGTTTGCCATACGGTTCACAAGGAGATCCTGCGTCTCAGTATTGACGAGCAAACATACCCACTGGGGATGCGCTTTTGCCGGGTTTAGACCTCAGTCCTAGCCGTGCCATAGATTTGCACTGTTGCCACGGGGATCACGTTGACGCGTCAACGCCCAAGCTTGTGATTCTCATTCCAGTGATCCTGCTATTGACCGGTCCCAGGCTGCCTAAATCTGCATGTCGATTAGGAGCCTGTGTGGTGGTGACGCATGGGGAGAGCCTATCATCAAGCGTATTTACGTTGAGTGGAAGGAGAAGCTCCGGGCGGGGACTAGTTTATTGCGTCTGCTGAGCAGGATGGAATGTTGAACTTGCTCGAGTACCTGCTGTTGCGAAGGCGCTCGGAAAATTGCCTCATCAACTGCGTCGGAGTCGAGGACACTCACCAACCCTAACCTTTCGTCACTGTCCCTCCGGAACGAAGCGGCCTTGGCCGGCCTGTCTAAAAATAAGGTGATCGATATCTCCTAAGCAACACTTTCTTTCTCGTACTCGAGCGAAAATCCCAACCAACGACAGAAACACAACAGCTCATCAGCAATCCGAATCAAGCAATGTGCTTACTTCTGGAAGGGCCTGCCCTTGCGTCAATCTGACATCGAAGAACGGGCAAGCTCCCGCGGCGATGCCAGCGACTAACCCCCACCACGATTGGTCCGGAATCTCCCCTCGATCGGGACCACGGCGATCGCCGGCAGCGTCCCTGTCACGGGAGTCACATCATATACAAGTAGGGAGCCGCGCCATCGCCTCTTCCCCATCTTACGTTCCCGTCGAGTCCACCGAGTAGCAGCAGGAGGAGTGTTGTTGTTGTTCCCCTTCCCCCCGCCGTCGCCGCCCCTTCTACCGCCCCCCACCGCTAACGAGGCTACCGCTTGGAGTGCGTGGATTCTCCCCTGGCGTTTTTCCCGTCCTATGGGTACTGATACACCACATACAGATCTCGCGACCCTCAATAGCTCCCTTTGCTCCGTCCCGCTTCCCCACCGTACCCTTCCCCGTACATTCTTCCCCCCGGCGCGCGCACCGCAGTCATCGCACAGTAGAAGCAGAAGAAGAACTAAACGAAGTACGCCGCTGAGCCCTGCTCGCGCTTTCGTTTCGTATCCTTGCTCTCGCTCCCGCTCCGCTCCAACCGCGTTTACAACAACAACAACAATCCGAACCGCGACCTCCTGCCCCCTGCACGCTACTCACAGCATCAGCTCCGACTGCAAACTCCGCTCGCACGCTCCCGTTTGACCGACCAACCCACCTGATACCGCAGCACCGGCCCACCGCCCCACGATGTCTGCCACCAACAACACTGTCAACAACAACAATACCCCCGATACAAAGATGGAGCAGTCGCCGTCGCCCATGGAGGCGATCCCACCTGCACCCACCACGAAACCCCCACCCAAGCGCAACCGGCGTGCCACGACTGCCGAACGCCGTGCCACCCACAACGCCGTCGAGAGGGCTCGCAGGGAGACGCTGAATGGTCGATTCTTGGTGGGCGATCTCTGCTTCACAGTGGGAGGTCATTTCGACTGATACGACTATTCTAGACACTCGCTTCGATCCTGCCTCCCCTCGCGTCGATCCGCAGGCCCAGCAAGTCTGCCATTGTCGGGTCCAGGTGCGTTTTGTTGGGGGCTACCTGATGTCGGTGGCAAAGGCTCACTGCTTGTTCATACGCAGCATCGCAACCGTGCGCGCTGGCCGCCGTCATCGTTTGCGGGCAGCACAAGCGCTCAAGGCTCTCGCACGCGAGGCGGAGACTCTGCGCATGGTTCGTTCGCTATATCTCTTTGCTGGCTATCTCGACTGACAGACGCTTATCAGGAAGTCAACACCTGGCGCGCCCGAGCGCGTCTGCCTGTCCTAGAGGCACCTTCCCGCTCGCAGGACTTCAGCATTGTCCTGAGCGGTGAGATGGAAGAAGATCCGGCTGATGCCGAGTACGCCATCGACGAAGGCGACGAGGAAGACTACGAGGATGGGCTCGAGAATGACGACGACGAGCTAGGATCTGCCCCGCCCGGCTCGCGAGATGGAATGAAGATGGACCTGGCTGCCACCCGCCAGCACATTGCGTCACCCGTGTCGTCTGGCCCCCGCACGCCCCCGGCCAGCGAAAGCCCTGCTCTCATGCACGCACACGCACGTAGCCCCATGCAGAGCGCGAGTCCGGTGACGCCGAACTTGGTGCCCCACCATCCAAGCGCAATGAACCACTTCGACAACAACCCGATGATGTATCACCACAGCCAGATGAAGGGCGCCCCTGGATACGACAATGGGCCTTCCTTCGGGTACGACCACGGCATGGGGATGCGGCCACGCACCGCTGAGAACCACGGGGCCGCGTATGATCTGGGTCTGGATCTGGACCTGTTCGACGCCATGCCTCGCGGCGGCCGTGGTGGACACAATGGAATCGATGCTGGCGCTCTGGGCTGGGCTGCGAGCAACCCGGCACACCCGGCGTTTGCCGGGCCCTCGCACCTCCCAGTGTTGGAGATGCCCATCCCGCGCAGTCGGATGCACGCTGCGCCGTACCCTCCTGCGCGGGGTCATCCGATGGGCTATCCGGGGTACCACAACCAGCCCCGTGCCCATCAGCCGCACCATCCTGGTGGTCTGCACTACGACGATATGGAGTTTGGTCACCATGCGTTTGCTGTCTGATGTGTTTCTGTTTTCGTCTTATCTGTTTTCGCTCGTTACGATGATCATACCGACTACTACTACTGGCTCGCGTGTACGTACTGGTATCGACCGATTCTGCATCACTCGTCTTGTATCATCTGCACTGGTCCTGTGTCCTGTCGACCGTGCAGCCCTCACACTCGCTTTCGTCTCGTGTACCGAATATCAATCAATCTGTAGAATACCCCGCGCGTCGATTTGTTTCGCGTAGAAGTGTCTCGAGGGATGACTTCAAACGTAGCATCTGCAACTCCCATCCGAAGCGAGCTTAATCAATCCGTGCTCAGTACGGTCCATCAACGAAAGAAGCAGTCGAAGCCGCGTCTCCATTGGGCAACTCAAAACAACCTCCGGGCTTCGTTCACAAGACCCGACCGACCACGCGACCATGCGGGAGATAAGCAGAAGAAGCAGATTCGGTGGCGTGGCAGACAACAGCGGAATCGACTCGCTGATAAGGGCGCACAGTGTGCTTTCGAAGACGACGATCTCTCTGTTCTCGATCAGTTGCGTGTGGTGAGGGTGAGTCTCGCCCTAGACTGTCAGTTCTCTGTCAGCGGTAGGGCTTACCAGGCTGGTGGTACATATATAAATATATACATCGACGTAACAACACAGTGCGCGGTCGTCATTTGGTTGACCCCGTACGTATCCAGACATCGCTGAATTCAGATATGCGGGCCGTGATGCAATTGAGATCCCGCACGTCCTCTGTGGCGCGCGGGTCATCCCGTTGACAAGAGTTAAGCCTTGCAGGGATCCATCCGTCAATTGCAACTGAAGGATGGGATCTATAATTCAATGTCACCGCAGTCCCGATTTGGATGTGGGTTCTGCCTCGAGTTCGTGAGTTTATCCTTGGGCGAAGCTACCAATCAATGTGGGAGTTTCAGACTGGCTGACTGGATTTGAATGTTTCTCCTTGAGCTGTGCGGGATGGGATCACAGTGAGCACTAGATTTTAGACCCAGCTCGTATTGATGAAACTATAGTCGATAAAAATCTCGTGGTGTAGAACTATCCTCGTTTGGGCTTAACTTCAGGGCCGCTGGTGACCAGTGACCTGCCATAGACACTTTCACTTCCTGCGCTCCCATGACCGATGACCTGAAGTTAAGTTCGAGATGGTACATGAAACGCTGCGGACGCTACTTTGCACAAATCGAGGATCGAGCTCTATCCGCAAAATGAATGAAAGCGGAGCCCCAGCTAATGTGAAGCAACTCGAAATGTACGAGCTGCAATTGGATGTCATGATCAGTCATTGCCAAACGTATGCTCGATGGAGCTGCACACCTTCGCTGACGTAAATACCTCGTCTCGCCACCAATTCTTCCGCGCGTTGCCAGAAATCCCTGCCGGTCAACACGCCAGACGTCCAATCCTCTGTATACCGCTCCAAAGATATCCGCACCAGCCGGAGAGTGGACTCGAACAAATCACGTTCCGTGTCCTGCAGATTCTCGTCGCTATCCATATCAAGTCCGAGCATCTCCGGCGTCTCCAGGATCGCAAGGACACGCAGTTCGGAACATCGATCGAGGATCTGCAGACACACTTCGAGGTCCTGCGCCCCGAGGTCGTTCAGCGCCAGGTGCGTGAGCGCTGGGAGCGCAGTGGCGAGGATCTCCACGTGCTTGAGCGCCGGCGCACTGTCAAAGAGCTCCAGGCGCGACAGCCGCGCAAACGCGTGCGGCAGCGCGTCGGCGAGGTGGCCCAAGAACGAGGCGTCGCAGTGCAGCCGCTCGAGACGGGGCAGCGCGGCTAGACCCGCAAACACGCCTTTCGAACCGATCGGGCCGTGCATCCACGCATTCTGCATGCTGCGGCAGCGCTGCACGATGCCCAGCGTCGCTGCATCCGACATGTGGTAGAACATCACGTTCCGCACGGCATCGCGGCAGTGTTGCGGCTTCGACACGAGCAGATCGGACAGGACGCGGTCGGTGAATTTGCTGGTGGTTTCTGGAGATCGCAGGATCGTGCGGTAGAGCAACGGCTCGAGCCTACCCAGCTTATCAAGCGACCGAGACTGGTTGGATGGCTCATACTGACCAGTATTTGACGCGCCGGGCAACACGTAGGAGGATTA